TGAGCCTGAGGACTGATGTTGGATGAGAAGACCTGGCTTGCTGTCAACATTCTAAGTCATCCTAAAGGTGTTCAGTAGGGTTGATGTCAGGGATCTGTGCAGGACACGGTTCCTACACCCATCACACCCATATGAGCTTGTTTGACATCCCATTGTAAAACCATGACCATTAATATGGAGTTGCCCTCCCATGTCCAATAATGTGAATCTGCCCACTTTTGTGGCTATACCATCCCTCACTCTTCTGAGAAAAATTTCCACAAGATTTTGGAGGGTGTTTGTGCCCATTTATTAGATCAGGTACTGATGTTGGATGAGAAGACTATTCCCTCTGAGGTCATCACAGAGGACAAGGGGGCACTCTTTACGTCTGGAGGAAAAGAAATGTAATCTCCAAACACGGAAAGGTTTCTTCACAGTAAGAGCTGTGAGAATGTGGAATAGACTCCCTCCAGAGTTGGTTGTGGCCAGCTCAGTGGATTGCTGTAGGAAAGTCCTGGATTCTTTCTTGGATACACAGAATATAACTGGATATAACATTTATAGGGAAAGGTGATCCAGGGAATATCCAATTGCCTCTCGGGGGATCAGGAAGGAATGTTTCCCAGCAGGAGCAGATTGGATCGTGCTTTGCTGGGTTGTTTGCCTTCCTCTGGATCAACTGTGGGTGGAGGATTGTAACTTTTTTTTATTATTATGGTTGAACTGGATGGACTTTTGTCGTTTTTTTCAGCCAGACTAACTATGGAACTATAAAGGCAAGGCAACCGTTGTGTGTACCTCTTAAAAAGTGCAAAAAAAATGCACTCGCAATAACAAAGTGTGCAAATTCTGGTGCACTACAGTAGAATCAGCTTGTATTTCTGTGTATTGCCCCCCCATTCCCCAAGGAGCTAAGGCATCGGCATCAGCTCTGTAATATTGCATGCGGCGTCACTTCTGGCTTACGTGATGATGTCACTGGCTCCGACCCGAACTGCGCAGTGACTCTACTTCACTGTTTCTAAGGCATCGGCATCACCTCTGTAATATTGCATTTGGCGTCATTTCTGGCTGACGCGATGATGTCACTGGCTCCGACCCGAACTGCGCAGTGACTCTACTTCACTGTTTCTAAGGCATCGGCATCACCCCTGTAATATTGCATTCAACGTCACTTCTGGCTTACGTGATGATGTCACTGGCTCCGACCCCGAACTGCACAGTGACTCTACTTCACTGTTTTTAAGGAATCAGCATCACCTCTGTAATATTGCATGCGGCGTCACTTCTGGCTTACGTGATGATGTCACTGGCTCCGACTCGAACTGCGCAGTGACTCTACTTCACTGTTTCTAAGGCATCGGCATCACCCCTGTAATATTACATTCGGCGTCACTTCTGGCTTATGCGATGATGTCACTGGCTCCGCCCCAAAGTGCACAGTGACTCTACTTCACTGTTTCTAAGGCATCAGCATCACCTCTGTAATATTGCATGCGGCATCACTTCCGGCTTACACGATGACGTCACTGGCTCCGACCTGAACTGCACAGTGACTCTACTTCACTGTTTCTAAGGAATCAGCATCACCCCTGTAATATTGCCAGCAGCTTCACTTCTGGGTTACGCGATGACATCACTGGCTCCGACCCGAACTGCACAGTGACTCTACTTCACTGTTTCTAAGGCCTCAGCATCACTTCTGTAATATTACATTCGGCGTCACTTCTGGCTTACGCGATGACGTCACTGGCTCCGACCCGAACTGCACAGTGACTCTATTTCACTGTTTCTAAGGTATCGGCATCACCCCTGTAATATTGCATGCGACGTCACTTCCGGCTTACACGATGACGTCACTGGCTCTGACCCAAACTGCACAGTGACTCTACTTCACTGTTTCTAAGGCATCAGCATCACCCCTGTAATATTGCATGTGACGTCACTTCCGGCTTACGTGATGACGTCACTGGCTCCGACCCGAACTGCACAGTGACTCTGCTTCACTGTTCAAATCTGACTGACTGAAAACAATTTTGTTGTTTAGCTTTTATCTCAGCAGTTGTTGTTTGTAGAGCTATGGTACAACTTTGGTACAAGCCCATCCCTTTGTGTTTTGTCTACTTTTGCTGATTTTGGGTCACCTTCATTTCCAACTTTCTAAAGTCGTGTCACCTGCAGGTCCCCACTTTAGACGCAATGTTCGACCATGAATATATTTTTGGTAGAAAGGCCCCTCGCGTGTTGGCGGACAGTAGCTCTGCCAGCCTCCCTATCAGGCGCGACGCGTCTTCGCAGCGACCGTTTGCCAGCATTCTGCCGCGGCAGGAGAGTTAACACGGCCGCTTTCCTTTACACTAATACATTTAGAAGAAAAGAAAAAAAAGAAAAAACTAACAGCAATTTTTTTTTTTCCGCCAGTGTTTATTTTTCCAGTTGCCTTAATTTGAGTAATTGCTTTGCCAGCGTTCAAAAATATATATTCTGCCTAAGAAAAACAGCCGCTATGACGGATCGCGTTCATTTTCATTTCAAATTTGGCCTGAGATTTGGGTATTATTTCCATGGCGCCAAAATCGCCCGAACTGCTTAGTCGGTTTCCTTTCACTTTATTATTTTTTTTTTTCCTTTTTTTTTTTTTTTTTTTTTTCAGCGTGGCACTTAAAGAGAAATCTTCCTTCGCTGGCAGCCTTGGCCTGATTTCAAATGTGTCACCCTCTAAATCAGCTGCCCCCCCCCCCCCCATCCGAGGCTCCCTCTGACTTTGTGCCGATATGCCGGCTGAGATGCCTTTGCCACCCTCCGGACTTGCTGCCATTTGTATTTATGGGGCGCCGCTGAATTTTTTTTTTTAAGAGCACCTGTAACCCAATAAATGTGATACTGTGGGGGGGGGGGGGAGGGAATATAAAGTGTGTGTGTGTGGGGGGGTTAGGGTTCTCCTTTACTTTCATGGAGGAAAGACTCCACACCTTGACTGGGTGACAACAGTGAGGGGATTTACGGTGATTGTAAACCTCTAATATGAAATATGAACAAAGCACATCCCTCTATAGCATCAACCTTTCTAATGCCGCGACCCCTTAATACAGTTCCTCATGTTGTGGTGACCCCCAACCATAAAATTATTTTCGTTGCTACTTCATAACTGTAATTTTGCAGTGGGAGGAATAGTGCCACGTCATTGGTGTCAGTGGGAGGAATAGTGCCACGTCATTGGTGTCAGTGGGAGGAATAGTGCCACGTCATTGGTGTCAGTGGGAGGAATAGTGCCCCATCATTGGTGTCAGTGGGAGGAATAGTGCCCCATCATTGGTGTCAGTGGGAGGAATAGTGCCCCATCATTGGTATCAGTGGGAGGAATAGTGCCCCATCATTGGTGTCAGTGGGAGGAATAGTGCCTCATCATTGGTGTCAGTGGGAGGAATAGTGCCCCATCATTGGTATCAGTGGGGGGAATAGTGCTCCATCATTGGTGTCAGTGGGAGGAATAGTGCCCCATCATTGGTGTCAGTGGGAGGAATAGTGCCCCATCATTGGTGCCAGTGGGAGGAATAGTGCCCCATCATTGGTATCAGTGGGAGGAATAGTGCCCCATCATTGGTGTCAGTGGGAGGAATAGTGCCCCATCATTGGTGTCAGAGGGAGCAATAGTGCCCCAACATTAGTGTCAGTGGGAGGAATAGTGCCCCATCATTGGTGTCAGTGGGGGGAATAGTGCCCCATCATTGGTATCAGTGGGAGGAATAGTGCCCCATCGTTGGTGTCAGTGGGGGGAGGAATAGTGCCCCATCGTTGGTGTCAGTGGGGGGAGGAATAGTGCCCCATCGTTGGTGTCAGTGGGGGGAGGAATAGTGCCCCATCGTTGGTGTCAGTGGGGGGAGGAATAGTGCCCCATCGTTGGTGTCAGTGGGGGGAGGAATAGTGCCCCATCGTTGGTGTCAATGGGGCACTATTCTTCCTCTTACTGATCACAGGTACTTTTTTTACTCCCACTAACCACCAAACCCCAGGCATTTTATATCTCCTCCAGCCTTAGGCTGGCTGTCCTGAAGTCTGGTGGACATTAAACTGGCCCTTTGTTTGGAAAGCTTGGAGACCCCTGATTGGTCATATCTAGGGGTGGACTGACAACTCATGGGGCCCCCGGGCAATAGGGGATCATGGGGCCCCTGTGTCCTTGCCCAAACTCAAAAAAGCCTATGCAAAAGGTACCAGGTGCATCTCATGGGGCCCCCTACTGACCCCGGGCCCTTGGGTCAGTCCGCCCCTGGTCATATCTAGTCGTAGTCGGTCACATTCAACCAGGGGCGGACTGACCATTTGGAAACTCTGGCACTGCCCAAGGGCCCAGGGTCAGTAGAGGGCCCCATGAGATGCCCCTGGTACCTTTTTCATAGGCTTTTTTGAGTTTGGGCAAGGACACAGGGGCCCCATGATCCCCTATTGCCTGGGGGCCCCATGAGTTGTCAGTCCGCCCCTGCATTCAACTGAACTTCTCCTGCGATGTTGAAGTCGTTTCATAGCTACTTCTTCAGTTCCACTGAGTCCTGAAGATCCGCCACCATCTATATCCTCTAGACACCAGTATAAAGCGGTGCAGTATTATTTGATGCTCTGTATTAATTTGTCACCCACCTTACCCCCTAAGACACGCCCAGTGTACCTTTTTTGGGGGGGGAGGGGTGGTCTGGTTTTGTTGTCTTTTTTTCCTTTTGTAATGGGAATCAAACATAGGAGAATGCGCCGCACTTCAGCTAATTAATTGAGCAAGCCTTGGAAGCAAGGGCGGACTGACAACTCATGGGGCCCCGGGCAATAGGGGATCATGGGGCCCCTGTGTCCTTGCCCAAACTCAAAAAAGCCTACGCAAAAGGTACCAGGGGCATCTCATGGAGCCCCCTACTGACCCTGGGCCCTCGGGCAGTGTCCGAGTTTCCAAATGGTCAGTCTGCCCCTGGTAAGGGGACACTCTGATGGGGTCACCTGATGTAAGGAGGCACTCTGATGGAGACAGCTGATGTAAGGGGGCACTCTGATGGGGTCACCTGATGTAAGGGGGCACTCTGATGGAGACAGCTGATGTAAGGAGGCACTCTGATGGGGTCACCTGATGTAAGGGGACACTCTGATGGGGTCACCTGATGTAAGGGGGCACTCTGATGGGGTCACCTGATGTAAGGGGGCACTCTGATATGGGACACCTGATGTAAGGGGGCACTCTGATGGGGTCACCTGATATAAGGAGGCACTCTGATGGAGACAGCTGATGTAAGGAGGCACTCTGATGGGGTCACCTGATGTAAGGGGGCACTCTGATGGAGACAGCTGATGTAAGGAGGCACTCTGATGGGGTCACCTGATGTAAGGGGACACTCTGATGGGGTCACCTGATGTAAGGGGGCACTCTGATACGGGACACCTGATGTAAGGGGGCACTCTGATGGGGTCACCTGATATAAGGAGGCACTCTGATGGGAACACCTGATGTAAGGAGGCACTCTGATACGGGACACCTGATGTAAGGGGGCACTCTGATGGGGTCACCTGATGTAAGGGGGCACTCTGATGGGGACACCTGATGTAAGGAGGCACTCTGATGGGGGTCACCTGATGTAAGGAGGCACTCTGATACGGGACACCTGATGTAAGGAGGCACTCTGATGGGGTCACCTGATATAAGGAGGCACTCTGATGGGAACACCTGATGTAAGGGGCACTCTGATGGGGTCACCTGATGTAAGGAGGCACTCTGATGGGGTCACCTGATATAAGGAGGCACTCTGATGGGAACACCTGATGTAAGGGGGCACTCTGATGGGGTCACCTGATGTAAGGAGGCACTCTGATGGGGTCACCTGATATAAGGAGGCACTCTGATGGGAACACCTGATGTAAGGGGGCACTCTGATGGGGTCACCTGATGTAAGGGGGCACTCTGATGGGAACACCTGATATAAGGAGGCACTCTGATGGGAACACCTGATGTAAGGGGGCACTCTGATGGGGTCACCTGATGTAAGGAGGCACTCTGATGGGAACACCTGATGTAAGGGGGCACTCTGATGGGAACACCTGATGTAAGGGGGCACTCTGATGGGGTCACCTGATGTAAGGAGGCACTCTGATGGGGTCACCTGATATAAGGAGGCACTCTGATGGGAACACCTGATGTAAGGGGGCACTCTGATGGGGTCACCTGATGTAAGGGGGCACTCTGATGGGAACACCTGATGTAAGGGGGCACTCTGATGGGGTCACCTGATGTAAGGGGGCACTCTGATGGAGACAGCTGATGTCAGGGGGCACTCTGATGGAGATACCTGATGTAAAGGGGCACTCTGATGGGAACACCTGATGTAAGGGGGCACTCTGATGGAGACAGCTGATGTCAGGGGGCACTCTGATGGAGATACCTGATGTAAGGGGCAGGGGCGGACTGACAACTCATGGGGCTCCCGGGCAATAGGGGATCATGGGGCCCCTGTGTCCTTGCCCAAAGTCAAAAAAGCCTATGCAAAAGGTACCAGGGGCATCTCATGGGGCCCCCTACTGACCCCGGGCCATTGGGCAGTGTCCGAGTTTCCAAATGGTCAGTCTGCCCCTGCTTGGAAGCCATCGGAGTGGCGGGGAGGAGGGGGCCCGGGGAGGAGGAGGGGAGGGCGGGGCCAGACACGTTTCTTGGTTTGCGCTCCAATTAAACCCTTGTTTGTTTTCATTTCATCAGGCAGAAGGCGGGCGTGACCGCATAATGGAATTTGGGAAGAAGTCAAGTGAGAAGAGACTTCGGTTTGGGTGGGAGAAGAATGGGGGACATTTAGCGCCGGCTGCACAGTAGCTGCAAAAAAAAAAAAAAAGAGAGAGGATTACGGGTGCGAAACGCCGAAAAAAAAAACCGCCACCGGCAACACAAAGTCCTCATTTTTCGTATATTATTCCAAATTAAACCCCATTTTGCCTAATCTGATGTGGATTCATTAAGCCCTCGCTGTGTATATACAGAGGACATAATAGACAAAGGGGGCTCTTCATCCCGAGCCGCGCACAGCGATCCGTCATGTCGTGGAAATTATATATAAGTGGACGGCGAGCTCGCGGCGCTAATCTGCGAGACAGAAAACATCGACCCCAAGCAAAGTAACATTCCGCCTTCTGAACAGTCAGCCCATTGGTAGGGTTCTTGTTATCGGTGGAGTCCCGGCAGCAACCAGCCTATAATTCTCCAATCTGGTCACCCGGGAGTGTCCCCATCCTGCTTCTCTATTATAAAAAATACATTGAAAAATGCAGGAGGGATGGTGGGAACCCCTCATAATGGGCGCAGCGGGTGTACAGACCTGGGAACTCAGCACAGGGATGGTGGGAACCCCTCATAATGGGCACAGTGGGTGTACAGACCCGGGAACTCAGCACAGGGATGGTGGGAACCCCTCATAATGGGTGCAGTGGGTGTACAGACCCGGGAACTCAGCACAGGGATGGTGGGAACCCCTCATAATGGGCACAGTGGGTGTACAGACCCGGGAACTCAGCACAGGGATGGTGGGAACCCCTCATAATGGGAGCAGCGGGTGTACAGACCTGGGAACTCAGCACAGGGATGGTGGGAACCCCTCATAATGGGAGCAGTGGGTGTACAGACCTGGGAACTTGGCGCAGGGATGGTGGGAACCCCTCATAATGGGCACAGGGATGGCGGGAACCCCTCATAATGGGCGCAGCGGGTGTACAGACCTGGGAACTCGGCAGAGAGATGGTGGGAACCCCTCATAATGGGCACAGCGGGCGTACAGACCCGGGAACTCGGCACAGAGATGGTGGGAACCCCTCATAATGGGCAAAGCGGGTGTACAGACCCGGGAACTCGGCACAGAGATGGTGGGAACCCCTCATAATGGGCACAGCAGGTGTACAGACCCGGGAACTCGGCACAGAGATGGTGGGAACCTCTCATAATGGGCACAGGGATGGTGGGAATCCCTCATAATGGGCACAGGGATGGTGGGAACCCCTCATAATGGGCACAGGGATGGTGGGAATCCCTCATAATGGGCACAGGGATGGTGGGAACCCCTCATAATGGGCACAGCGGGTGTATAGACCCGGGAACTCAGTACAGAGATGGTGGGAACCCCTCATAAAGGGCACAGCGGGTGTATAGACCCGGGAACTCGGCACAGAGATGGTGGGAACCCCTCATAATGGGCACAGCAGGTGTACAGAGACCCGGGAACTCGGCACAGAGATGGTGGGAACCCCTCATAATGGGCACAGCGGGTGTATAGACCCGGGAACTCAGTACAGAGATGGTGGGAACCCCTCATAATGGGCACAGCGGGTGTACAGACCCGGGAACTCGGCACAGAGATGGTGGGAACCCCTCATAATGGGCACAGGGATGGTGGGAAACCCCTCATAATGGGCACAGCGGGTGTACAGACCCGGGAACTGGGTACAGGGATGGTGGGAACCCCTCATAATGGGCACAGCGGGTGTACAGACCCGGGAACTTGGTACAGGGATGGTGGGAGCCCCTCATAATGGGCACAGCGGGTGTACAGACCTGGAAACTCAGCACAGGGATGGTGGGAACCCCTCATAACGGGCACAGCGGGGGTACAGACCCGGGAAATTATTGGCTGATTTTAATTACATTTTATAAAACAGGAAATCCCCAATTCACAATTTGCTTTAATGGAAATCCGGTGCAGCAGATATGTAAATGAAGCCGCTATACTAAAATAAACGCACTTTATGGCTAATTTTAGAACAAAACGTCCTCCGGGAATAAACCATTTAGGTGACTCTCAGCCCCCCCCAGGACCCCCCATCACCGTTTCCACCTGCATGCCAATAGATGAAGTCCACCTTCCTCGGACAGCTCCCATAGCACACGGCACACAGGACTGGAGGTGGATGGTGACGGGCAGATTGCAGACTATAACACACTTCTCTGAAGTTAATGGGAAAAGAAACGTGAAAAGTCTGAGTGCTTTTAATGCCGGCCATAGACGGGTGAAAAATCGGGAAATTTTCACACCATTAATGGGTTAATTGGTGGTCGGCCGTTTTTTCAGGTTTTTTGCAAATTTTTTTTTATCAGGCATGTTGGAAAATTTGCAGCGACGATCGGCCTATTCTCCCGGCAATGATGGGCAAATCGGCCGATCGTTTCACTGATAAAAAAAACCTGCGCATGAGCCGTGACCTGGAAGAAGAAGAAGAAGAAGAAGAGGGGGAAGGAGAAAAAGAAGAAGGAGAAGAAGGAGCAGAAGAAGGAGAAGGAAAAGAAGGAGAAGAAGAAGAAGAAGTAGAAGAGAAGAAGAAGAAGAAGAAGAGGAAGAAGAAAAAGAAGAAGAAAAGGAAGAAAAAGAAGAAGATGAAGAAGAATTCCAGTCCGCTGTTATATTTTGTATGAAAAGCCTTGCGGTCGCAACAATGTATCCATTTGTATCCGAATAAAAACATCTGTATCCGAAATGGATACAAATGGATACAAATGGATACACATGGATACAAATGGATACATTGTTGCAACCGAAAGACTTTTTCATGTAAAATATAATAGCGGACTGGAATTCTTAGGGACAGAAGTAATTACGGGGTTAAATGCCCGCCGTAGACGGGTCGAAAATTTTTCTACTGTTGGTGGTAACGTTGGTCGATCGAACCCAGATACCATTCTCACCTACATGAATGAGTAAGGGGCATACATTTTGGGAAGGACCCCATGCTGTTTTTTGCACAGGGTTCCACCTTAAAGACCACAGCAGACCCTTATCTAACGGTCTGCTATAAATTTTATGGGGAACCCAAACCCCTTTTTTTCTTTTTAAACTGCCATTGGTTGTTATGGTGCATCCTAACCACCGAAGACCTTGCGGGCCGATGATGTCACTGGATGTGGGCGACCTCCTCGGTTGCTGGAGACGGCCAGCCGCTTGAGTACTGTCTGTTGAGTGCGATCTGTTTAAAGCGCGATGGCCGAAAATTTTGGCCATCATTACATTTTCGTTACATGAGAACCGTATTCAACAAACAGACACAAATACAAAAAAATACAAAATAAATGCAGGATTCTGATTGGCTGCCATGGGCGGCACCCCCTTTTGTTACCTTTCCTGAAATTATAATAAGGAAATGAGCACATCCCTCACCCCCCCCCCACCCTTCCTTTCGCTCGATTGGCTGAGACGAGGCACCCCGGGGACTCTGCACACACAAACATTTTTCCTTTTTCAGCTGCTGCAACAAAATCTAAACTGTTTAGGGAAGAATCAGGCGAAAAACATATTTGCGTGACGCGGTCGTTTACATAAGAAGGGGCCGGTGAGATCAGGTATGGTGCAGATGAAGAGTGGCCGGCCGTGTGGAGTCACCCAAGTGACATGATTTACGCCACAGCGCCGAGCTAATTAGCGCAAAGATCAGGGGAAACAAGGGGGGTGACGCAACGGCCGAAACATTCGGGGGCTCCTTTGTTGGTTCATCGGTGCTGAAGCTTCAAGTGTGACTCCATGCCCGCCGCTCACATAGAATACAATCGTCCCTCAAATCATTCCCGACCAGGGGCGGACTGACAATTCATGGGGCCCCCGGGCAATAAGGGATCATGGGGCTCCTGCGTCCACCCAAAAAGCCTATAAAAAGGTACCAGGGGCGTTTCATGGGGCCCCCTACTGACCCCGGGCCCTCAGGCAGTGCCCGAGAGCTCGAATGATCAGTCCGCCCCTGTTCCCGACTTTCTGTTACAATGTTTCTTCTGTCTTCTGTTTTCTCTGCGATGTCACAACACGTCCGCCTTGTCTGTTATTATAATCGAATCGAAAAATAATATGAGAGGAACATAGATCAACACATTCATGTGCAGACTTATCTGGGTTTATTTGGGATAGGACAGGTTTGCTTTAATGACAAATGTAATCCCGTGATGGTCCGTTTTCTAGATAAAGGGGGCTCTGCTGAGAGCTGCATATCATGTTTGGCACATGTGATGGTACAGAAAATGGTCAGAGACTGCAGACATGGTACAGGAGATGGTCAGAGACTGACAACATACTACAGGAGATGGTCAGAGACTGAAGACATAGTACAGGAGATGGTCAGAGACTGCAGACATGATACAGGAGATAGTCAGAGACTGCAGACATACTACAGGAGATGGTCAGAGACTGAAGACATACTACAGGAGATGG